TCTGTCTGTCTGTCTGTCTGTCTGTCTGTCTGTCTGTCTGTCTGTCTGTCTGTCTGTCTGTCTGTCTGTCTGTCTGCACATGTAAACACAGTAGGGGAGCGTGAACTCGTTTTAGGGACACTGTCCCTTTAAGAGTTAAACATTCCGAAGTGCACTCGGTAATTTCCGTCGTTAGCCAGCCGGCTGTGTCATTTTTCACCAAATGTGAAGACTCCGAATCACTCTCAGCCATTCTYATACTACTGAATAGGGTAGGTTTAAAATGTGTATCGACTGCTTCAGCAGTACATTGCAGCTGCTTTGGGTCCAGTTTGGAAGTTGTGTAAATCGCCCAACGAGTGTTTATCACGCAGAGTATGGTCGGTCTCGTGTTTGAGTCGACGTTTGCTAAATTTAGCTATTCCGACCGAAGACGGCTAGCATGCTACACCGAAGCTAATTTTATAACCTCGCTGTTATTCAAGTTAGGACGGAAGGGCAAATGTGTCATATTTTGTTGTCGTAACCCATGTGTCTAACGTGAATGTTTATATTTGCGCTGAGGGCACATTGAGTACTACAGAAAATACGATTTGGTGCTAAGTTTTGTTCTTTGTTTACAAATGTAGCTTTTGCAAGAGGCTAGCTAGTCATCGTGTTCACTAATGACAGAAAGTTCTGATATTTTGTCGAGATAATTAAAGATAGAATGCCACCAGTGTTTCGTAAGAAAAAAAAATACAATAATTTGCTCGTTGTTGTTGTACCTGCATACTAACTCGTTTGAATAATAATAATAAAAAAGGACTATGATGCTGGAAAATCAACCAATATATTCAGGGAAGCAACGTGATTCACATTATTCAGGAAAAATAAAATAACATACARAAATGTACGATATTCATCAAGCGCAACATGTAGTTATTATTACCCAAGTGTTCATTCTGTTACGGGGAGAAATTGTATTTAAGAAATCTTTTTAAGATAATTAAATTATTGGGAACTTTTCAGATATTGTTGGAAATAAACTTTTTGTTTTTTGGTTTGGTAAAGAGCCTCTTTTCATTTACCCTCTTTGTTGCAAATAGGACCAGAGTGTATTTAGTCTATTTGAATTCAAATAACAGCTAAATTGAAACATTTAAAAAGTATGTTGTGTAAGGCTTTTGTAAATTAAAAATATTATCACGCTGTCATTTTGCACTTATTTAACTACTGTTTGTTACCATGTGCATATTTGATCTTCAGTGGCATCTGTGTCTTATTAATTTAGATTACTAAGGTTTATCTGCACTTTATTGTGTTTTGTTGTTTGTTTYACTAATAACAATTGCAGTGAAACAAAATCTCTCGTTACACAAACGATATAAAAAATAACATTTGTATTCATTTCCACAGTGTGTTGCAATTCTGCTGTCAGAAAAGTCCTGTTGTTCTGATGGTCAGACATGGATGAAGACAACAGCCAAGATGAGCTGATTAATCGCAGTTCATCCCACARCAAAGGAAAACGAGCAGCATTGTGGGCCATCTCAGGTAGCGCTTCTTTAAAAATGTCTGTTTTTCACACACAAAAAAATAAAAATACAAAACTTCCACCACATGCTTTTTTCTGAAGATGACTCAGATGACCTCGACGAGGAGTCGGATGAGGGAGAAACTGACAGTGGTGATGAAGAAGAGGAATGCGACGTGAATGGAGATGWTGATGAGGGAGGAGAGGAGAATGGTAATGGACACAGTTCTTGTTTTGTTACTGTGTGTGAGAGAAAATAGATGATAGTGTTACTGACACTTTACAGAGTCCAACATTTATTTTGTCTTGTGTTGTACTGCAGTGCCCATTATTACAGTTGAAAAATATACAATAAAATGATTTCTAAACAATTTATTAGATGAGGAGGAGGAAGAAGAAGAAGAAGAAGATGATGCTAAGCCTGAGAATGGTGCTACTGGTGGGACCTCTGCTGATGTTGAAGGAATGAGCTCAGATGAGGATCTTGACAAGTGTCCCATCTGCCTGAACTCATTCCACAACCAGCCTGTTGCAACGCCAGAGAACTGTGAGCACTACTTCTGTTTGGACTGCATCCTTGAATGGGCTAAGGTGCGTGTGCCATACAAAGTCAGGAAAAAATGATTTTCATTAAAAAAACATTTCCTGCTTTGTCTTCATTTCACCTACCTGTGGTTGAACAAAGAAAGCATTAATTTTCAGTGATGGTTCTTTATTTTTTCCTGTTTAGAATGCAAACTCGTGCCCCGTAGACCGTATTGCCTTTAACAGCATCTACTTAAGAAAATGTTTTGGAGGAAGAGTGAAGAAAATGGTAAGTGTTCACTTAAAAACAGTCAAAAATACTCTGTACGCTATATGTGTTGGGTGGACTAATGCTGTGTGTTAACTGTGATTTTCAGATAACAGTGGAAAAGCCCGCAAAGGCAGGCGAAGAGGAAACGGTGGACGTTGACCTGGAGCAAACCAACTGTGAGGTCTGTGGGAGCAGTGATCGTGAAGACCGCCTCTTGCTGTGTGATGGTTGTGATGCAGGGTGAGAGGATCTTTTTTTTATTTTATAAGCAAATAAACTATTCTTAGGATGATAAGTCACTTTTTTATCACTGATTTGAGTAAATACATGGTGTTCCACAGATATCACATGGAGTGCCTCACACCTCCTCTTGACTCTGTTCCTGTGGAGGAGTGGTTTTGTCCTGAGTGTGAGGCCAATAACCATCACTCAAGTAAGCCTGAAATTATCTTCTTATTCTGCAGATGATCTTTTTTGAACAGTTAAAAAGCAATTACTCAAAGTTTATATGTAAAGGTATCACCAGCAAAAAGACCTATGTTGTATCTGTCAGAGCCTCTGTTTCGCATGTTCAAGTCAAGTGTGCTTTTTAATGTATAGATATGCAATAGAAAGATAGATAGATGTACTYTCAGTGTACAGAAAAGCACTCAATGATTTTGTAAATGAAAAAGCTGAGAAATAAAAGCAAAATGTTTAAAAAAAACATCACACTTGCATGTATTTTCGCTTCAGGAGTTTCAGCTGTGGAGCTTAGTGACACAGASAGCCTGTCCTCTCCCGTCCGCCCTGCCACCAGCCAAGCCCAAACTCRTGCTGTAGGCCCAACCAGAGCTATCGCCCGTACTCAGCAGAGCGAGCGGGTTCGAGCCAACGTCAACCGGCATCGCATCACACAGGCACGAACRTCACAGGTTTGGCATGAAGCGTGACGCTTCTGTTTTGGCTACTTTTCTAACTCTTCTCCACAGCACAAGTGCAGTTTTGCATTTTAAATCAAACGTCTTGAGCACAAAAATGTTTGCTAGCGTGTGTGAACCAAACTAACTGATAGTGATGTGTGTTTGGATGTTCGTACCGTTCAGCTGGGCATGTGTGTGTTCGCACGACCATAGTCCGTGAAAGCGCAGCAGGAGAGTAATTCAGACGTTTATTTTATAGTTGGCTCCAACATATCTGATACAGTCCTCTTGGCTCGATGAAACTATTAATGCTGTGGTTGCTGGGCTTAACACGGCTGTGTATGTGCGAGACRTCACACCTCGGGCCCCATCGAGTCGCGGACGCAAAACACGTAAGTATGAGCACACTCCAACAAAAAAGCAAAACTATAGGTCCGTATTAAAGACAGACATAAACAAATCTTAAGGAAGAAAATGCAATYGATCTAGGGCTTTTGTTGTGTTAGTTTGTGATGATGACTTATGATTGAACAGGAAAGCGAAGAAAAGTGAGACGCAAGATAACATCGTCTGCAAAGGGTAGCAAAGGTCAAGCGGAAAGCACAGGGGCCAAAAGAAAGAAACGGAGAGGAAGGAAGATTAAATCCAAAAGAAAACTAGTGAGTTCCTTATTTTTTTATCATTCAATTTTACTTAGCAAAAACTTCAATCAACCATGTTATGTTTACAATATTTGAGGTCTTCCTCTGCAAGTGAACTCTGTCTGTTTTTGTAACAGTTCGTAAAAATGGCAGCCACTCCCAGAAGCCGTATTGCGAACAATCTTGGGATGGTGAAGGGCAAGAAGCGCTCTTCAGTCCCTACTGTATACCGTCCATCAGAGAACACATTGAGCAACATGCGTGCCGACATAGGAGCTGCATCCCTGTCTATCTATGGGGATCCATTTGATTTGGATCCATTTGTGGATCAGTAAGGAGACTTAATGTTGTTTGATCATGTGACATGCCTTTAATTCATGTGACTTTTAATCTAACAAATTTTAGTTTGAGCTGCTATTGAACATATGTAAATATTGGAATGATTTCTTTTAGCCCTGTCTTGATAATTAAATATTTATCTCTGTAATTC